TATCATTATCATTGTATTATTTTATTATTATTTATCTTTATTTGTGTAAATTTTATTTAAATATGTTTTATATTAGCATTATTTCATACCAAAACTAGGTAATATATGTTTTTTCTCACTGTACACGTTGGCTAAATCACACAATTAGTAAAAATAAATTTGAATATATAATATCAACTTTTCTAATTTATCATTACTAATTACCATTATTATTACTATTTTTTTTTTTTTTAATTAACCCATTACATTCTGGAATTTCTCTTCGGGCCAATGCCCAGTAAGAACCAAATATTCCTCTCTTATTACACCTCTCTAATTTTAAAATATTTATTATTAAAAGGTGGAAAAGTTTATCTTATGTAAGTAGTAGACCAGTGAAAATTTAAAACCTACTTTATTATAAGTGTGATTGTGGTTATATACATCTGCCTGCCTTCCTGATAGTACTTAATTGATTGTAGAATAGTATATTCTATAATCAATAGTTTTACCCTTGATATTTAGCCGAGATCCATAACAAAAATTTATTATTATCAGGGCTAGGATTTGAATGCAACAGCATGTTTTTTTTGCGACTTCTGATTGTTGATTTTGTMAGTAATGTCCACGAATCACCTCATGATGAGATAAATGGTGGTGTTTTTATTTTGCATATTTTGGRTAAAATGAATATTAATGCATATTATATTGAATAAAATTAATATTATTGCATATTTCCATTATAAGAATACGAAAAATACATGTTTTATAGTATATTTCATGATTAATATTTATAATTTAATATTAATATTTCGTATTTAATTCTAGCTCAGCTGATTAAAGTATTAAACTTGGTTTTTTTGTCAAACACAAATTTTATTTTTATAAATACAATCCTATGGTACAATATAAAATCTAAGATAGAAATTAAATGCATATTTTTGCATATTTTGGTAAATAAAATGCATATTTTACAATTTTTTATTGCATACAAATCCTAGCCCTGATTATTACAATACGATAAAAACGGGTAATCTCMCACACATATGACTGTCRCCAGTCTTCAGGAGTAGACCCCACAATACAACAATGAMWCATCTACCAAATTGCACTCGCTATATACAGTACCGGTTGAAAAAATGAACAAAGAAACTGAAAATGAATCGWGTARTATTGAGAATATTGCAACCGAAGTTGATGTACCCAACGCTTTGCAGATTTTTTTTCTTTTATCTACTTAAAAGTTTAATATACCTTGGTAATTGTATGTGCATATAATAATCAAATACACTTCTGACCTGTTYGTAATACATATTATTTAAAGTTTTTTTTATTATTATTACTATTATTATTCCTTATATTCATAATTCCTCAATATACTTACTTCTGAACGCTTAACAAATGTAAAGAACATTATTTTAGTAAATTTAGTAACTACAAACATAAAGTTTGAATATTTAGCATAATAATTGTCACATTAAAAATAATGGGTAGGTAAGTAGGAAGAAATTGTTTTATTATGTTGCTGTACAATTTGTATTGATATATTTTGTAAGCCCCCCCCCCTCCCAAAATCTTATTTTGTTTATGTACCTGCTTATATTTGTTTAGTTTATACATAAACATGAGTATTAATAAGTTAGATGACATTATGAACATATATTAGCTAGGACTTGAATAATATAATGTTAATTTATAGTATAAAATCATTTGGATCGTAGCCGTACATATATAGCATGACCTATCATGCATTTTATGATAATATATTGGGTCTTCTCGTGATATGTATTTCAGTATATTGTTGTTTGTCAACTCGGAATAATTATAAGAATTAGAATTTATTATTCAATAAGAAATCGATACCAATCATACTATTTTAGGGTCAAAAAAAAAATTGTCCTTGTTCAGTTGATCTACTACAGCACTAGAACTACCTACTCTATAACCAACTCCTCAGAGTTGATTTATTTTAAATTATATTTTCAACATAAGTCATTGTCAATCCTTGWTAGTATATAGTGTTTATTTATTGTAGTSYATCTTTACCTACCTACTTTGTATTAATTCAAGTTTAAACATTAATATTATCATATCATTCAAAATATTGAAGCTGCAATAAATTATTTAGTGACAAATAAAACCTACCTAGTACAATTAATAAAGCTAATAAAGGTATGTTATTTTTCAAAACAATAGTTTTAATGTTGAAATCACAATTTTAGAGAACTAATTATTTACAGTATAACCCAGAGAATCTAGCCAATACTTCTTGTACACGCATTTTGTAGATCTTTAGCAAAATATACCCTATAAATAGGTATAACTGGTATAAGTGTATATAGCTACGTATAGCCGTATAGGTACCTACCTATTTGAAATAATTAATTGTTATAACTATTCAACTGTAATTATTGCCTTTAGTTTTAAGATGTTGTAAATTTTATTTT